GTGATTCTACCCCAGATGTTGCCCCTCCCTTTCTACTCCTTCATGGAAAGCCAATCTATGCAACATTTACCTAAAGCCAAACGTTTAAGGCAAAGGTTGTTTTTAATAAACGAAATAAATGTTTCTCTACACTATTAAGTCGAATTCATGAGTTCAACATCTAATACGAAACTCTGATTATCGAGGTCGTAGATACCTCTTGCTATTTCTAATGTATGTGCAGCATTAATGACGATTCTACATATTTAGGTGGTCGCTTTGATATTGGGAGTCGTTTTAAGTTGTACTTCGTTTGCTGTCACACTAAGCCCTTTCGTCCAATGGTTACTGTGTTCGTCTCGCATGCCGTTGGTACGCGGGTTCAAACCCTCAAAGGGAATATGGTGCCTGTGTTCTTTGCCAAGACACTTTACTACAATTGCCTCTCTCCACCCAAGAGTGTATATGGGTACCTAGGGAGTTAGAGACCATTATGCGCTGATTCCGAACTGCTGCAAAAACTGCATGGTCTCAACAGTTTATGAAAAATTGGGAAAGTTTACATGAAAAGTGAAAGTTTGAAATCCGGCTCCAAGGCTTATCCAGATCCAACAGAACGTATGAAATGTGTATGCAAATACGAAGAGAATTATTAACTGTCTTTTTATTTACTTTCAATTGGGGCCAAACTGTATTTTATGGACAAAAAGGTATTTGCAATGAAATAAATAATCACCTCGGTCAAAAACACTTGCATCTGTCGCCGTTCCGTTTGAATTGCTGATGATGCAACTTTGTCATCGGAGAAAGTGTGCCTTGCAAGCACAGCACTAGTAGTTCACAAATGTAGATATGTAACTTGGTTTCTTAATTTTCTAACGGCATAATATTAAAATACATCAAATGGTTTGTTCAATTTTTGGGGGTCGACTTGAGACATTCGATTTGCCTACTATGGACGCCATCTGACAGAAGGAGGTGCTACATCTAGCCTATAAGATGCACGTGTCGGCAAAAAACTGTTATGGTAGCAGTAGCAGATCCAGGGGTGGGCGTCAGCAACACCCCTCCCCTCCCGTTCCGCCGCTGACTAATATGAAACTAGTAAAACGGGGCCAAAAGCAATCAACGGAATTTCTAACTATATTCTCAAATTGTCTTAAAATGCAGGCGAATGCATCGTAGATTTCAAAAATTACCAGGAGGCAAGCCCCCGGCCTCATCAGTACGCCGTCCCACTACGATAAATTATGGGACATTAAAACCAAAGGCCTGTCCCTGGCTCTTCTTTGGCCTTCAACATGCCCCCATTCCCTCCCAGAAAGGAGGGTGGGGTCCCACCTTCCTCCTCCCCGTTCTCGAATCTTCGCCCAAAATTGGGATTAAGAAATAGATTGTATTAAAGGTGATGGTACATGTATAAAGGAACAAACAAATGATTGGTACGAAATTTGAGCACTTTTGCCCATGCTATTTTTGCAAGAATTATTGATATTGTAACGTATTAATACTCGAGCGGAATAGTAATGCCTTCATCGGGGAACGTCTGTTTCTGTTACTTCATTCAACACGTTAATAAAACAGACGATGAACTATTCTTCTTGATTTCCAAATGATTGTTTATTCCTTACCCTCTTTGATTCTCACTTGTTTTTAATCACAAATTATTGGTTTGGTACTGACCTAATCCTGACAGCTAAACGTTAGTTCTTAAGCACTGCTTGATAATTCCTTTTAAAACCTCTCTCGAAGCCCGCCAAACGTGAACTGCTTTTTCTATCTGCGCGCCAAGCCAGCCACAATCTAAGCACATGAGCTGATCATGCAGTGATCACGCGCTGTGCATGGATCAGGCGACCGAAAGCAGCTGTCAGAAGTAGGTAAGTGTCAGAGTAAAGCGCCGCCAGGCGACTATTTTTCCCCACAATATTATTGAGTTAAAGCAACACTGGTTTAAAAACAAAGTATTATCTGCGGTGTGATTCTACCCCCAATGTTGTCCCTCCCTTTCTACTCCTTCATGGAAAGCCAATATATTTAATATTTACTTAAATCCAAACGTTTAAGGCAATGGTTGTTTTTAATATGAAGAAATAAATGTTTCTCGTCACAAAACCAAATTCATGAGTTCAACGTCTGTGGCAATAATACCAAACTGATTGTCAAAGTCGTGGATACCTCTTGCCGTTTCTAATGCCACTTATTTTTTCAAGAGTATGTGCAACAATTACATTAATGACAAGTGTATATTATTAGGTGCTCGCTGTGATATTAGGAGGCGTTTCTAAGCTATATTTCTGTTGCTGTCACACTGACATGCCGTTGGTACGAGGGTTCGAACCCTGACGGGAAATATGGTGCTTGTGTTCTTTGGCAAGACACTTGACAACAATTGCCTCTCTCCACCCAGGAGTATAGATGTGTTCCTGCGAAGGTAGAGACCAGAATGCGCTGATCTAGAGCTGCTGCAAAAAACTGTCTCAAAGATGAACAGGGGAAATAATTAAATGCTTTGAGACCTTGGTATATAATGCTATAAGCACCTTAGCACCACCGTCTTATTATAATATTATTATTATTATGCTATATATCAGTATTAACCTACTAAAACTCAAGAAAGTGAAAGTTTGAGATCTGGCTCCGACGCTTATCCAAATCCATCAGCACGAATGCAATGTGAGTGAAAATACGAAGTGAATTATTAACTGTTTTTTTTATTCACTTTCAATTTGAGCCAAACTATGTTTAATGTACAGAAAGGCAGTTTTGTTTGCATAAAATAATAATCAACTCGGACAAAAAACACTTGCAGCTGTGAGCGTGTCATTCGAATTGCTGATGCTGCAACTTTCTGTTTGTCATCCGAGAATGTGTACCATGCAAGTAGTTCACAAAAGTTGATATGTAACTTGGTTTCTGAACTTCCTAATGGCATCACTCTTTTTTTAATGGTTTGTAAATAAATGTTGGGGGTCAAATAGTCATTCGATGGGAATATCAGGTTGAGAAATTCGATAAGATATTCGAGAAATTCGATAAGCCTTCGATGGACGCAATCTGATTCAAGGAGGCGCTATACATGTAGCCAATGATTGAGATGTACGTGTTGGTAGGAACTCTAGTTGCAGTATAAAGTGCATGTACTAATGGCAGGTGGATAATTATTATGTTACAGCTATTAAACAGTAGGGGAAGCATGATCTCTGTAAATTACGGGTAACTTATACGCAATGCTGATGCTATAGAATAAGGGAAATTGCCAGAAGCCTCCATCTGGCCCTTCTGGCCTTCCACGTGCAACCATCCTGCCCCGCCCTCCCAACCATCCCCCACCCCATCCCCACCTCCCCACCTCCACGCCAAGAAAAGAGGAGGTCCCGCCTCCATCCTTCCCGATCACTCTCCACCCAAGGTTTGGTGGTAAGATTATGGTATAAAGGCACAAACAAATGATTAATATTAGGGCCTAAGTACGAAATTTGAGAAATTTGCCCACGACAGACAGGCAAGAATTATTGATATCATGGAGTTAAAAAGACGCCGGTTAAAAAAGTAGTATCCGTGGTGTGATTCTAACCCCAATGTTGCCCCTTCCTTTCCACCGCCTCATAGGGAGCCCCGTGCACGTTGAGGAATGAGTTACCTAGTTCGTAAGTAAGTTTCAGCACCTATATACACATTAAGCAGGAAAACACAGCCATGTTGTCATGCGTACAAATAGCGCCCTGATCCCACGCAGCGGAGCAAAGGGTCGATTTGCGGGCGGTGCTTAATGGAGCCTCATTCTCAATAATAATAATAAACCCATTATGGCATTCTTCGAATTGTTAATGGGGCACAAGGGGCAGGGGAGGCACATAACTCGAGTACGGGAACGGGAGGGGGCCTCCCCAATTTACGCCACCGCCCAGTTGACAAGCCACTGATATGTTCTTCCAACTCCCGAGCTTCGGGCAGACACTGCAGCCTGCATGGCCATTAACTGCGATCACAGCTGTATAATTCATTGAACCGAAAGTCACAAACACTTTTGGTATAACTTAAATAACAACGAATCGGTAGAAAATTGCTGAGGCATTCAGCCATACTCTTTGTTTGGCCCAAAACAACCATAACATATTCGGAATTATGTAAATTAATGACAAAAGATGTTATATACGGGAAATGTGTTTGTGAACATTTTGTTTCTTAATACAGTCTTCCAACAAAAAGTTCTGTAAATAAGTTTACAATTTTGTTGGTTATTTTGTCACCCTTTCCTTTTATATAAGTTTTCCTAGCTAGTTTGAACAAATAACGTGTTCAAATCAAATGTGTAATAATGGGATTACCCGTGCAAACTGTTGTTTTGTCAAGTTCCGTACACTATGCTGGTATACGTTTATGGTTTGCAAGACATCACCGTTGGTGAAATATGCAGCGCTGGGCAAACTTCCTTTTAGCGACGAATTAAGGTTTACCTCAGGATCACACACGGCAGAGTTAGAATATGGAGGCGAGTGGGTGAAGAACTGCATAAGGACTGCATCCACTACTTATAATTAAGACTATGTCTGGATGCCTAAGTAATTTCTCTACCGATTAGTCGTTATTTGACCGAGAGGTGCTCAGTAGTTTTTGAGTTATACCAAAAAGTGTTAGGGGGACTTTATTTTGGTTGAGTGTATAATCCCCTCGCTTGTTCCGATGCTGATGGTTGTGACGGCATTGAACAGTATACGCACTACCCAATACACACCAAACAGCCGTGGACAAGTTTACAACTCTCCGACTTTTTAAATGTGGGCTGAGCTGATTACAATCCTCTTAGTTAAAAAAAAAACAGACCGGATATTTGGAAGTTAATGGCTGACCGAAAAACCACGTCAGCAGACGAAATGGAAAGTTGTCTGCATCCAGCAAATATTGGAACAATCTACAAGTCCTCTCACGCGATGAGGTCCTGGAGCCATCTGTTTCTCGGCATGGAAGTCTATAAAGCAAACAGAGGCTCTGCTGGAAATCAGACCATTCCTCATCGGACGCCATGGGCAAGATGAATCGCCTCTTCGTTCTGCTTCTAGCGGTGTTCATCGCTGGTAAGTCAAAGATCTTTCAGTAGATAGTCCCTGATCTCTCAATAGATTTTGTTTCAAGAATTAAGTTATATTTTCAACCGTGGCTCACGGAGTGTACGCTAGCCACTCGCTGGTACCTTTGTGGAACATGTTGCCTTATCCCCTGGATTCAATTCAGTCCCCGGAACTTCTTAATGACATTATATTAGATGGACGTCAGAACGTTTGCAATTACCCGGAAACATATGTACCGATTTCACGTGAAAATCCTTGCTTAAAATGAAGATAGGACTGGGTATCAAATATCATGTGTTATAATTCCACCTGAAATGGTTGACAACCCATCACCTAATTCTAACCATTTTAAAATGGTGATCGGGTAGTACCAAATCACCCAACTAGAGTTTTGCGTTTGTATTTGTAACAAACTTGGAGTGATGGGGAGCACAACTTTATTTTACACTGTCTACTCGGTTGTAAAAACGTTTAAGAAAACAATAGAAAAGGCAGATAATTCAAAGATCTGTCGGTTAAATAAGCATTATGAATTTGAGCAAATGCATTCTTCAGGGATCGCGAGATTTCAAAACACATTTTTATTCACACGTAACCTCCGGTTTGATGTCACAAATTAAAAAAAGGAAAAAAGACTAATGTAGTGTTCACAGGTTATGTTCGATATATTAAAAATAAAATGCTGAAAATGTAAAAGCTAAAATGCACTCAGAGAGCGCACACTTCCGCCAAGGCTAAACAAGTTCCCGTCACTACACTCAGCACCAATGCAATGTGGCTTCTAAAACAAATCCTTAAACTCAAACATTTTGTAGTGTACATGTATATGCCTGTGTTTGTCTACCTTTCCACTCCCCCATCGTAGAAAATGTTCTAGTCCATTGACCTATGTGGTTAGATTAGGTGGGTGATAAGCATAGAGCTATATCAAATTAGCTCTATGGTGATAAGGCATACAGGGTCACCGGGTCAGTGCCACGCAAACGAAGATGGTCACACATGGTGAACGTTTTCCATGTGATGATGGGTGAAAATCCTGTAAGTAAATCCTGCATCCAGACACAGATCCGGATCACTTCCAATATCTAATCGATTTGTACTTGTACCAAGGACCACCCCTATAAGTTGTTCATAAAATTTGTCCAGAACTATTTGAGTTGTCCTGTTCAAGGACAAACACACTAAACCAACCAACCAACACACACACAAACCAACGCCCCTGAAGACATAACCTCCTTGGCGGAGGTAATAACACGAACGTTTACGTTTACGTATTAATGACACCCGACTTCCGGGATGGGGACGTCACGTAATTAGAGCGCCAATTGACAATAATGAAGCTGAAATTATTTTGGCAACAATGAGCCAGATAGGTACCGAATAGTGTATTTTAATTTAAATATGCAAAAGAGTAATCTTCCAAAGTCTTCATACAATAACTTTTCGTCTGAATACGTCATCGTTATGAAATTTCGCAAAAGAATATTTTACTGTCCAAAACATGTTTACCGACAACGTTTGAAATTAAAAAATATATATAATTTGTTGATATGCCATTAGAGGGTGCCCTTTTCGGTGATGACGTCATCGTAAAATTGTGTGCGATAACTATTACTCACTGAAGATTTCCTAAATAAGTATTAATGTAGTAAAATGCTTTCCTATTCAAGTTATATTCGTTTAGTATTTCACTTCCGGTAACCCTAGAAGTAAAGGTCAAGTTGTTACTACAGATTCGCGTTTGTTAAGTTACAAACGCAGAATGATCGTGCAGAAAACTAAATAATTTGAAGTCGGAATAGAGGATCACGAAATTCAGTCTTTGCCGTGGAAAAATTTCTTTAAATTGAAAAACGAAAATGCCTCTTTTGGGTTGATAAATTTCAGTACATTTTATGTACACGTACACGTTATTTCCGGTTTGATGACGTCAGCAGTAAAAGCTTGCAAACTCACGGGAGTGATTGGGAGAAAGCTATTTTATTAGGTTTGCCAGTGGTGAATATTTTGATGTCACTAGAACAGAAAAGGATCACGAACTTCGGTCTTTCGCATGGAACTTTTCCTTTAATTAGAAAATGAAATAAATCTTTTGAATTTCATACGTTTCAGTATACAAAATACACGATGACGATATTTCCAGTGTGATTACGTCATCAGTTACGTCACTGTGCAAAGTGACTACTGACTGAGGTCAGAGATGATACATTTTCATTATGTGAAAAAAGTGAAAAAACTTGTGAAATTATGGAAATTATAATGGATGTTGAATTGTACGATTTTACATCAAACGATGACGTCATCATGCTTTTTTTTCTTCACTCAGCACTTCCCTAATTTGTTTGTCTGAAGCAAAATGCTTTCGTAGTTATATACGGATATATTTCCAGAATACAATATATTGCCAAAGGAATTTTTTAATGGATCACAAACAAACGACAACAGTACTGCATTCATTTGAAAAGTTATAGTTCAAATTAATTTTTGCCAATGTTGAGCTTTAATCGCTTGTAATTTGAAACCTCATAACGTCATGATGATGTCACAAACGTTTTTCACATCTTCAGACTAATGATGTGCAAACCCAACCCGAAACCGAAACCGACCCGACCCGAAACCGACTTCAGGTCGGGTCGGGTCGGTTTGTCCATCTTTAAGTCGGGTCGGGTCGCTTTCGGTTTTGCATTTTCATTTTCGGGTCCGGTCGGGTCGGTTTAGCCATCTTTTGAAAAAAAAACCCGAAATAAACCAAAACAGTTGAGAAATTTTGGTGATGCAATATTATTGACAGTCACTCTGACCGCAGCCCTAGTGTGGTGTGGCGGGATCTACCCGAATGGATGTTCCCCACTACCGATGTTCCCCCAAATCCTTAGGATTAGAATTAGGGTTAGGGCTAGGGTTAGGTTTAGGGTATATTGGTAGGGATTTCGGGGAACATCGGTATTGGGGAACATCGGTATTGGGGAACATAGGTATGCACCCGGTGTGGCCACCATCAAGTTCCCACAATATTAATTTCTCCAGTCGGATGGGACTGACAGTGATATAGATATGTTGTAACAGTTTTCATCATACCGCGTGATGATACCTAGTCTATGTAATAGACCTATGGCGAATTATTATGTGAGCAGATTCGCTGATTATTAGGCAAGACCCCGCCTCTTGACCTCCTAGATTTTGACCAATCAGCGGGCGCTTTCTATATCGGGTCTTCGGTCATTCCATAGATATATTCACTGTGCCCAAAACTTTTGGGTTCTTCATGGACGCGCTGCAAAGTCACGCTGAAGATATGCGCGTTTGAAATTTTGACCCTATTCACGTGACCAATGGCTGCGCCCTGTCAAAACGCGCGTATCATACGCGCGTCCGATCTCGTTTTTTAAGTTCTATATCTATGAGTTTTTTAAGTTCTATATCTATGGGTCATCCGGTTCGTTAGTGTGACGTCACCTCCAGCACTTTCTGCAAGATTGGAACCGGAAGTTAACGCAGCTCGAGTGTTCGTAGCCAATAGGCGCTAGTAATCAGTGGTGCGCGTGCGTGTATGACGTTTTTACTAACGAACCGGATTCACCCGTTGCGCGTCCGGCGTCGTGCGCTCTGTTATCATGTTACGCGATAACGAGCCCGGCTGTTGTTGCATTACAAAACACTGCATTCGAATTGACCAATCAAACGTTTAGTCCTGATTTGGGAATGAAATAACGTCACGATTTAGTAAAGTCGACTCCGACTGGCTGAGGCGCGAGATCGCATAGATCTGCATGCTTTGATATATCAGACGTTAGACCGGAGTCTGGGCTCCGTGGATAACGGGTGATACTCAGACTAGATGATACCATGCGTTTGTTCAATAAGCGGAGTTACTCTCGATCAACCCACTGAGTATGACAGAGAGATAGGCCATCAGCCGGGGGGGGGGGTGGTCAGTATCAAATCAGGGCATAAATGATTATATTGCGCATGCGCAAGGTATACCGCCCCTAGAGTGCAGTGGTAACAAGCATTTTGATGGACATTTTGAAAAAAAGGTGATAACACCCAAAAGGCTGCCACTGCTGCAATGCTGTCACATATTTTCCAACTCTGGAGGTGTATACCTTGCCAAAAATCGCTATGACGATTATTCCCCTCATTTAATACCGGTGGCCAACATTTTGGACCGAGGCTGATGGCTTAAGAGAGACGATGGTTTTGCAAAAGAATTCATGCCACGTGGGTAAGGGAAGGCACAAAAAAGAGATCACTTTGTCCAAGCAAGGTATTCGGGGTTTTTTTTAAGTTTTTTTCGGGTCGAGTCGGTTCGGGTCGGTTTTACCTTATTTTTTGTCGGGTCGGGTCGGGTCGGTTTTAAGGGAGTTAAGATTGGTTTCGGTTCGGATTCAGTTTATATCTCTAATGTTTCGGGTCGGTTTGGCCTGGTCAACCCGACCTGATGCACATCATTACTTCAGACCAGGGCCCATCTTCACGGCGATGCTCAGCACAAAAATTTGCTCAGCACAAAAAAGTCTGGCTTATAAAAGCAGGTTATCAGTTAAAACTCCATATGATTTTCATGCTAAGCAAGCAACAACTGAATACTAATCACGAGCAATATACATCACGTGGAGTTTGGGCTGATAACCTGCTTTAATAAGCCAGACTTTTGTGCTAAGCAACTTTTTTGTGCTTAGTAGCGCCGTGAAATTCGCCCCTGAGTTCAGGTTCATACCAGGTTTTATCATCATGGGCAATTTGGCAAAGTTTTGACGAGTTTTTTTTTTAAATAATACAGATTCAACTTTCGTTAAAACTCAACAAGAGGGCGCCCTTTTGGGCGATGGCGATATCATGACTTTTAAAAAAGTTTTTCATCCTTTACTTTACATTCTAAATAAGTATTACTGCAGCGAAATTCTTCCGTTTTCAAGTTCACTTATATAAATTTGTCATTGCACTTCCGGTAATCCCAGAAGTAAATTTGAAGCACTTTTGTGCCCGGGAATGAAAAATGTTGCCCAAAGCAATATCTAACACCTCACAAAACTGAACTTGGTGATCAATTCAGTTCAAGAGATTGTCAAGTTTTGACCATAAATCGCTTGTAAATTGATATTTGATGACGTCATGGTAACGTCATGATGACGTCACTTTTTTGTCATTTTTGTCTTCGGATAATAATACATGTTTGTACAAAGTTTCATTTACATCCCTTGAATAGAGCGATGTTCTGCTTGCAAGAAAGGCCGTGGAGTAATAATGTCAAGAAAAAATAACACGAACACGAAAGTACGAAGACCAAACCAAAGGGTGGTGATGATCACCCAAAGGAAAACAAATAATACTGACCGTTTTAAAACGGTAATCGGGTTGTGCCAGATCGCCCAGTTATTGTCATATGATAAATGTCTGTCCCGGAGGATATACATGTAGAGGATCTTGTCTTTCATGACGCTCTGACTATCTTGCCTGTATAACATTGCTCTTTGTGTGTGTGTTGCCTGTATAACATTGCTCTTTGTGTGTGTTTAAATAACTACTGATCAATTTAACTGCAGGAAATGACTGTGCCTTCCCTAATGACGACACGAACGACATAAAGAACGAAAAGAACATTCCAGACGAAGCAGTGTTCAGAGAGAACCGTGCCACTAGTAAGATCATACATTCTTTGTTATTTTTGTTGTTTTGGTTTTTTTTGGTGATTTTTTTTTTTTTTTGGGGGGGGGGGGGTGCTTTTTCAAGAGGACCAGCCCCTCGTCATTATATACCAATCTCAATGTCTGAATGACTAACTGACTGTAATATGTGACTCACGCCAATGATAAGGGCTAAATCTGGCCCATTGATTAGACCAGACCGCGCTTTATACAAAACTACCGATGAATAGCCATTTTATTTGAATTGAAGGTTGTGCGCTCGCACTCACGCTGGTCTAGGTCGAGCCTTACAATGCTTGCTTAGTTCTTGTTTTAACAGGCAAATTACTGCATAAGGTCAGAAATTACTATGAGGCAATGTGCTTCCTGTAGCGTGTCTTAAATAATGACGTCTTATGAGCAGGCTTGTTTGTTTACAAAAATTTGTCGGTTCATTTGTTATTTGTCCGTAGATCGAACTGCATATATAAGTGCAGAGAGTAATTACACCATAACCTCTAAATGGTACCCATACTACGCTTATCCCAACAATGCTGATGACGTCTGGTATCTTCAGACTGACAAAGGTCGTAGAATCCAGCTCACATTCGTTACCTTTCGACTCGACTACCTGGGGAACGACTACCTGAAGGGGGGCGATGGTGAAGACGCATCCACAGCGCAGCTCTTTTCCCTATCTGGGAGCGTGATACCAACTGACAAGGTTTCATCAGGAAACAAGATGTGGCTGAGGTTCACTTCAGATGACAGTGTCAGCTCTGCAGGGTTCAAAATTGTCGCTCAAAGCGTCTCAATGACAGGTACTTACATCTGGTATGACCAGATCTATCCTTGATGGATTTAGAATTTTAAGTTATATTGGGGCATACATATTACAGTGTTTACCATTATTACAACTTTAAGATTTAAGTAGAAAACAGCCAAACTTGCAACTCCAAATCCAATCCCAGTCATAAATGAATTAGGAAGTATAACTAATATCGACATACGTATAGGTAATACACACCACGTTACGTCCAATGGTGTCCTCTCTCTACCTCCATTCATTATGTAAAGGCAGGCACTGGGTCACCAGCGATGGGTCAAACAGGAGGCATGTTTCAGCTAAAATCTGTCAGGATGATTTTTAGGGAATTAATCGTTTTGTATTACATATACCTCCCCCAAGATGCTTTAAGTTATCATTTCAGAGACGGGTACACATTTACTCGGTATAACATAAACATTTTCAGCCACTGTTTCAGAAACAAAGAAGAGCGCATCGTGCGATCTCACCAACGTATTTTAACGACACTTGAGTCGCTTTTGTATTATGCTAAAATGGTGTTTTATATAAGACGTACAAAGGATACTAAAACGTCCAAAAAGAAAAGACGACATTTGTCATTGTTTCAAAGACTGTCAACATTTTCATTACTTTTTTGATTTACCCAAATTCCAGACTACACCACTGAACCATCCTACTACGGCTGCAGTTCATATGAGTGGCGATGCTATTACAACGGTCAATGTATTCAAGACTACCAAAGATGCAACGGATACTCAGACTGCTACTCTGGCGAAGATGAATACAACTGTCAAGGTGAATATGCACAAGGGAAATAGTTACTGGATGAAGCAGACACGCCACTCCATAAGGCCGGTTAATAAAAACTAAAGTAGTTTCTCGATCGTCCGGCCTTTTTCAAAAAACGAAGGAGGTGGGTGCTTTTTTTTTCTCAAGATTGCGGATTTTTCAAGAGGGACCAGGGTTCCTTCCCCCCCCCCTTGCCTCCCCCGAAAAGAACAAAAGAAAAAAAGACGACGTGCGAAGTCATATTACAGTCATGCACATTTACCAACATGTAATCGATAATGATAGGGGTCAGAGCCAGTCTACCAAGCAGTCTTAATTATTGGCAAGTTGGGAGCGTTCATGCGCTGTTCACTGTGTTTGAACTGACATTGTGTTATCTCATGATCTCATAGACGCAGTAATGTAACTGATATGTCTGAGTGTGTTTCAACTTGAAGTACTGAAGCATGTTACAGTGAGTTTTACGGTGGCCCACAACTGTCACGGCAGGCGCAAAAGCGCCGCGGCAAGCGCAACAGCGCCGCGGCAAGCGCAACAGCGCCGCGGCAAGCGCAACAGCGCCGCGGCAAGCGCAACAGCGCCGCGGCAAGCGCAAAAGCGCCACGGCAAAAGAAAAAGCGCCGCGGCAAAACAAAAAGCGCCGCGGCAAAAGAAAAAGCGCCACGGCAAAACAAAAAGCGCCACGGCAAAAGAAAAAGTGCCACGGCAAAACAAAAAGCGCCGTGGCAAGCGCAAAAGCGCCACGGCAAGCAAAAAAGCGCCACGGCAAGCGCAAAAGCGCCACGGCGAAAGCAAAAGCGCCACGGCGAAGGCAAAAGTGCCACGGGTTTATTGGGAAGGGGCGTAATCATACATGCCGCTACTACATCAAAAAATAAAATGGGAAGGAGAATGGCCGCCACCAGGAATTCTTATTAAGCACAGAATTTTATTCTTTGAGAAGTGATTTTATGGCTGAGAAAATAGCAAAGCCAAGGAAAACCGGTCAGGAAATAAATCGTCGATATTAATTTGTTGTAGGATAATTATTATTCCAAGAGAGTTGCTGCCGTGAATCAGAGTTTATCAAGGAGTGGGACTCGCTATCGGCACCATCAAGGCCGTTCCTCATTTCTTTACATTTCGTGGGATGCAAACAATTACAAGGACGGGAGGCTCTGTGAGCTGATGCATTTTTTAAAACATTTTTTTCCCCTTCCGACTAGCATGCAGAGAAGAGTTCCGTTAATTTGAGCCTTTTTTCACAGGTGTGTATACCAGTGTAGGCACGAAAGTGAGCTGCCCAGAGTGTATGAGTTAATTTTTTTTTTCTTTTTCAGTATATCATACACATCTATAGGAAGTCGATTAAGGCTCTCCTGCAGGGCTGCGGCAGTGGGTGGGTAAGGCTTGTCAACACGTAACTCGCCCGCGGGCCCATTAGGTTAGAAATCCCCAGAGAGCGGGAATTTCAAAACTCTTCGCTGAACGTTGATTGCACTGACCGGTTTTCCTTGCTATTTTCTCAGCCATAAAATCACTTCTCAATTCATGGTGGCGGCCATACTCCTTTCCATTTAATTTTAGATGTAGTGGCGGCATGTATGATTACGCCCCTTCCCAATAAACACGACTGAGTTGAAGATAACTCACAAATCGAGAAATGGATCGTTCTATTAGACAGTTGCAACGCTTTCGACAGAGGAGGTTAGGTCGTGGATTTCATGTAAGGAACGTAACACAGGCGAAGACTTTGGATATAGAATAAGAAAGAAAGAAATTAACTTTAAAAAGGGGGGGGTAAGGGAGAGACACTAAACAAAGGAGAAGTGTTATCGTTGAGATGCACAGTTCTAAGCTCTTCTATGAAAATTTGGTGGCTCTGAAAAGAGCCGTTTGCTTTGTTTCGAGTGAATACGGAACTATTTGATGCCGGAAACAAGCCCTCTTTCTGCCCTGCAGGCTGATTCTGCGATGATGTGGAAGACTGTCCACATGGCAACTCATCATCGCTATCGCTAAGCATCATGAGGTCTTGTTCGGCTTGTTGGTTTCTTGAGCCGGGGGTGGGTGGGCCAATGAGTTCTAGGTTCTGAGTTAATTTCTTTCTTTCTTATTGTATATCCAAACTCTGGGCAGCTCAATTGTGTGCCTACACTGGTGAGCTTGTCTTACATACGCAGTGTGGACTTCCGAACAAAAGACGTCCACATAATGTAGGTAGCAGCGACGAAGTGTGGACTTGCCAACGTCCACACAGTGTTTCCCCATTTCTGGAAAACAGGTTTAGAGGCATTTTTGGGTTAGGTTTATCTGTAGCAGAATGAAGAGAAACACTAAAGGGAATCATTGAAAAAAATTGGGTTGTAAGAGTTTTCACAGTTTGAGAAAAATGAGTTTTTCCACTGGTGTTCCTTAACTACACGAAAAGAAAGGAAAGTCCACACTAGGTATGTGAAACAATTCTGTGTGTACACACCGGTGAACTCATGGGCGTCGCCAGAATTTTTTCTAAAGGGGGCAAAACATATTTTTCCCAAAAAATTCTTGTATTTCTGAACAAATTCTCGATTTCTCAGTTTTAGACGGGGGCAGGGACATTTTGCCCCCCCCCCCCAACTCATTCAATTTATACCACTATGACTTTGCGCCTCTTTTTCTTTTCTTATTTTTCTCTCAGTTTTTTCCCCTTCCTTTTTTGTGTGCTATTCCAGGGGGGGGGGGGAGCGCCCCCTTGCCCCCCCCCTCGCGACGCCCATGGGTGAACTAAGTCTCAAATTAACGGAACTCTTCTCTGCATGCTAGTCGGAAGGAAAAAAACTCTTCAAAAAATGCATCAGCTCACAGAGCCTCCCGTCCTCGTAATTGTTTGCAGAAATGAGGAACGGCCCTGATGGTGCTGATAGCGAGTCCCACTCCTTGATAAACTCTGATTCACGGCAGCAACTCTCTTGGAATAATAATTATCCTACAACAAATTAATATCGACGATTTATTTCCTGACCGGTTTTCCTTGGCCTTGCTATTTTCTCAGCCATAAAATCACTTCTCAAAGAATAAAATTCTGTGCTTAATAAGAATTCCTGGTGGCGGCCATTCTCCTTCCCATTTTATTTTTTGATGTAGTAGCGGCATGTATGATTACGCCCCTTCCCAATAAACCCGTGGCACTTTTGCCTTCGCCGTGGCGCTTTTGCTTTCGCCGTGGCGCTTTTGCGCTTGCCGTGGCGCTTTTGCGCTTGCCGTGGCGCTTTTGCGCTTGCCGCGGCGCTTTTTCTTTTGCCGTGGCGCTTTTTCTTTTGCCGTGGCGCTTTTTGTTTTGCCGTGGCGCTTGTTCCTTTGCCGCGGCGCTTTTTGTTTTGCCGTGGCGCTTTTTCTTTTGCCGTGGCGCTTTTGCGCTTGCCGTGGCGCTGTTGCGCTTGCCGCGGCGCTTTTGCGCTTGCCGTGGCGCTTTTGCTTTTGCCGTGACAGTTGTGGGCCACCGTAGAGTTTATATCAAAACTCTATTTTAATTCCTAATCCACGAAGCATTTCATTTTCAGTTACCTGAGCTCCATTAACAGTTCGTGTCGTTATTGGAGGCTGTTCGAACGAGGGTTGAGTTGAAGTTTTCTACCAAGGCCAGTGGGGTACAGTCTGTGATGATAATTGGGGCATTAATGACGCTCATGTCGTCTGTCGCATGTTTGGTTGCCCTTCGGCATACCAGGCGTGGGGCAACGCTTACTTCGGTCAAGGATCAGGTCCGATCATGCCACAATGTTTACTGCCAGGGATATGAATCTAGCATAGATGAGTACAATCATGCTGGCTGGTTTAATCATAACTGCAGGCATAATGTGGACGCCGGAGTTATACTTGCTACATTCTTGGAACATATTAAATGAAGTTGAAAATGAACAAACTTTTGGCTTCAACTGGTCTCTCTGTATAGACAGGAATGTAAAATGACTAAGTAGAAATCAATGTTCTTGATTTTCCAACTTGCCCCTATAACGTGCCGCCGCTATGTTGCCTTGCTGTCCGATTATAGATTTCACCAAATTTACTTAGAAAAACTCTGACCAGTTTGAAGATTAAAGTTTCCAACAACTGTTTAGAGAACGTTTGCACGAGTGCTGAATTGTAAAGCTTAATCATTTTTTGTGTTTCATACTTTCCAAACTCCCATACATTACCAAAACATTTCTATTTGTTCCGATAATTTTCATGTCGAACCTGTGTCGTACATCAACTACACGGAGACATCAAAAATAGTCTTACAATATTCATGTAACGCATGGTTGTATTTTGTTTTATTTGGGGTGATTTTCAGACACGTTCCGCTGTTCTAACGGTGACGAGATCCCCATGAAGTATACATGTGACCGCATCATCGACTGCCAGTATGGCGAAGATGAGTGGCAGAACTGCAACGGTAAAACAATTTGTTCCTCTTTGACCTACTCAAGCTTTTGTGTGGATCTTCATGCTTAACTTATTCTAAGAATCACTGCCAAAAGAAAATCATGAGATGAGGTCGAAGCTAGTCGAATTATGCTTTGCATCTCGTAGGTAATGCATCTGACTTGGCCCTAGGTAATGTATTCAGAACAGGAATAAATTCCCACGTGGGTCAGCGAAAACCATGATGATACATTGTATATGATTCCTATTATTAAGTCTTGCAAGTGGAAACTCTATTGATATTAATGCTGCGTACCACACCACCACCACCACCACCACAACAACAACAACCAGCAGTCCAGCCACAGCTACCATAACCGCCACAACCACCACACCACAACCTGTAAACCACAACCACAAATTCAACCACTGAACCACCACAACCACCACTGAATCAGGCTGCACCACAACCGCCACAACAACAGCTACAACCGTGAGCAACAACATCATCAACAACAACGATATCAAAAACAACAACAACCAGCACCGTGAACCACCACGGCCACCATAACCGCCACAACCACCACACACACCACAACCTGCAAACCACAACAACCACTGAATCACCACAACCACCAGAATCTCTGCACCACAACCACCGCAACAAAAGCAACAACCGTGAGCAACAACAACAACCAGCACAACCACCACGGCCACCATAACCGCCACAACCACCACACACACTGCAAACCACAACAACCATTTAACCACCAGGACCGCCAGAATCTCTGCACCACAACCACCTCAGCAACAGCAACACCGTGAGCAACAGCAACATCATCAACAACAACGACGACAACAAGAACAACAAAATAACCGCGCCCGGTTGGGCACAGTTATTCACATTGAAACAAAGACGTTAGAACTAAACAAAGAGGCTCCGTAGTTCCAAAAAGCCACGTACGTTTGAGCGAAAGGGGGCGTTCTAACCATGGGCGTCAATCCTGGGGGGGGGGGGGCATGTCCCCCCCCCCCACTTTTTGAAGGGTGGGGGACACAATATCAAATGTCCCCCCCCCCCCTCAGATTTTTGAACTCGTGTCCCATTTACAGGGCCCTATTATGTACTTCAATGTATCTTTTGCTTTAAAAATATTGGTTAAAGTGGTCAGAAATTGCCTCAGATAGCACCACAGAGCATTTAGAATCCAAATTTTTCGGGGCCCTTAAGCGGGCCCCGAACCCACGCCTGTAGCTCAGAATTCTGATAGCCAATTCAATGACTCCAACCTCGAAAACGATGTTCAAATAATTATGTTCAAATAATTCTCTTTTGCTACGAAAATATTAGTTAAAGCATGGAGAAAAGTGGTAAGAAATTGCTTCAGATCACACCCCACAGAGCATCTGGAATCAAATTTTTGTCGGGGCCCTTAAACGGGCCCCGAAACCTACACCGTAAGGGCTTCGCGCTTCGCGCTCGCATCAGTTCTGATCCAGGTATGTCCCCCCCCCCCCCCCCCCCCACTTTTGAGAAGCGATTGACGTCCCTGGTTCTAACGTCTGGACATTTTGATATGCAGCCGTACATTCAATTTCTTCTAAGTATTTTATTTCTTGCTATAACAAAATTACCAATTGTGTATAAATTCGTATTTGATATACATTTCTAGATAATGAAGTCAAAAGGGACAACATTGAGTCGTATCTGCGACGGGAGAAGGTTTTGCCGAAGGAGAAAAAGGATGAGCAAGACCCGTAGACATATAAAGGTGAGCTATTCCTTGCTTCTGATAGCAAAATTTAGGGCACTGTGGCGCAAAATGGACAGGCTCACCAAACACTATTATAGTTCTGGCGTCACATTTTCAAAACTTGTCGAACCGAAGCGGGGCAAGATAACTGAAATTTACCTTAGCTAAATCATAACCCCATAGAATAAATTGGATGAATTACCATCTGCAACAACAAAAAAATAGTCTTGTGTAGTATTGAGTTTCTTTGTGACATTTTGAAACTCAATTAGGCACACGTAAGCAAAATGTTTTATCTCTGATGAAAACCAGTAGCTCGCATTGTGTTACCTCTCCAACACCAGCAACAAACTACGTTTGCCACATACCAGATTATATTTTGGGTGCTAAATGCTACAAATGCGACAAGTACTGTACACCAATTACTGCTTGTAGCTTTGGGTGAGGCTAGCTAAATTTAGTACGGGCCTTATGCACAAGTTAGCCATTTTTGTCGTGTTCCCTGAATGTATTTTATAAACTGTGACCTGTTGCAGGGGATGGTGCCAGGCTATTTATTCACTATAGCCTCACTTTCACTTTTTTAATGTGGCTTAAAACATTAGAGTATGTTTAATCACAAATGTTAATTGTTCAGAGCAGACTGGTATTGCAACGTTTTCCCTCACTCTCATTCGAATATGGCTTTAGTTTTACGTCCTAGAATGAGCCCTTTAGGCATCCAAAGCTTGTATTGTACAAAATATCATCAATCAGGCATGTCCGGGTCTTTTTTTAAATAAAAGATGAATGGCTCCTTTTGCGGTTGCGACATGTGACAAAATAATGTCGTACTTAAAATATACTATTTCATAACTTTTTTACTCGCCGGGAACCAAAAAAACTGGGTGTTTTTTCATAAGAGAAAACATCTTAAAACACCAAATGCGTATGCATGCTTATCCACTTTCAACTTAATTATAAGTTCATCTTAAATGTTTGATTTGTTGCAGGAATCAGCCGTCGTCTCAGACTTATACCGGACATGGAATCGACCACCGTACACTGCATTCTAATGTCCATTTGAAATTTCTTAGAATTAGTTTGGAATTTAAGTTTCATTTTGTTCCTATTTTCGTTTCCGTTTTTGTTTCGTTCCTTTGAACCTTTTTTCCAAGTTTGAGTTAATCACGAATATTAATGATTCAAATTTTGTTGTTTCAATTTCATTATTTTTGGGCAATTCCACGGGAAGCGGATATTGCTGAAAAGTGGATAATGTATCACAATCTCGAATGTGGTATTAAATACAAGGAGACAAACAAAACCCTTTCGTTTACGTTATTTGCCAGTGAGATTTAAAATGATTACCCATGTTTTTGGTAAAAACAAACGGATTTTTGGCAGCTTGTATTTACATGCAGCACACATGACTTGTGTTAGGCCAAAAAAATAATAAGTCGGTCTCTGGTCAGCGCGCGCGTCGATTTAAATCATGTGCGTCAATCTTTTTTTTTTCCAAAATGTTCCGCGGTAGCTCCAACAGCGCCCTCTATTGCCGCACCTCCTCAATTTTTTTTACCAAAGAGCACCAAGGAATGGGAAATTGCACCACGGCAAATGATCGAGAGCACCAAGGCAAATTATGAAGGACACCAATGTACATGAGGACACCAAAAAAGCAAAATAGTACCCCACCTTGTCTGTACAATCCAAGCTTGTAGAAAAAGAAGAAAAAGACGAAAAAAAAAAAAAGCCGCGTCGCCGCGTCAATTCCGGAACTTTGGTCTGACCAGAGACCGAATATTTTTTTTTTTTTGGCCTTATTGTGAATTTTTTTGAAGGCAGAGTGAAAGGTTTCTATACTTTGCCAAAAGAGCTATTTTGTTTAATAAATGTTATTTATTATGTTTTTACTTGAATCAAAGATGGGCGGACAACCGTAACGTATAACGAGCTGTGCCGTAACTACTGTAATTACAGAAATACATTTTTTTTTAATTTTATTTCAGATGTATCACATTTCAAGAAGATTTTTATTCAAAGACATGCTTTTATGATCTCTGTCCTCATGGGCGTCGCGGGGGGGGGGGGCAACGGGGCGCTCCCCCCCCCCGAAAAGAAAAGAAAAGAAAGGGGAAAAGGAGACAAAAAAAAGAAAAGAGGTGCGAAGTCATATTGCTGTTTATTTGATGGGGGGGGGGCAAATGTCTCCCTTCCCACCCTTGGGAAAAATGATAAATTGAGAATATGCTGGAAAAGTACACGAATTTTTAAGGAAAATGCCCTTTGCCCCCTCTGGAAACAATCTTGGCGACGCCCATGCTTGTCCTACTCTGTAACGTAACTCACCGGAATTACATGTCAAATTACAACCCACCAAACTTGCTCATGGCAAGTCCTGGTGAGATGTATTCATGGTACATGTTGATATAGGAGCTTAAAGAGCGTTGCTTCATCTCTTAAACTAACGAAACTCACCGTGGAATTGCCCATCTTGTTCCTATATTCATTTTCGTTTTTGTTCCTTTAAGCTTTTTTGTTCCAAATTCGAGTTAACCAAGAATATTTACTATTTGAATTCTAAAGAAATGACGCCCACAACTATGGGAAAGATGGTACAATAAAGGACATGTCTTTACCAAAGCCCATCTTAGGAAAAGAGTTTGCGCTGAACGGAACACTTTTGCATAGAACCATCGGGCTGTCAAAACAAGAATCAAGTCAAATATAACAGTAATGCTCTATAATCCTCTGTTCCCAAACCTCGCTCCGAATCAGCCAATATTACAAACATCTGGGGAGACTATTAAGAAACGCTAGAACTGAATACAAAAATATATTCCGTCTTTTCGAAATTGATATAGTCATGAAAATACTTCCATCCAAAAATAAGATTAAACCACAGATAATACAGATACTTTTATGAGAAAAACATAGTTTAAGTTCTGGACTAAAATATGCAATTAGATATGGCCTATATCATTATGTCAAAAGCTTTAACTAAAGACAGCCGTTTATAGCGAAACAAATATACTGTACACTGCAAAAACTGCAGTGTTAAATTTACACCATTGGTATCTATATAGGACCATCTGGTGTTAAGTTTTACTGGTGTTGTCCTATACAGATACCGAATGGTGTTAAATTAACACTACAGTTTTGGCAGTGTACACCGTCTGAGGGTCTTGTTGAACATTGGCAATCTCAGACATGTGCGACTGATGTAGAGTTCAGTCGTGTATAACTCACAGCCTTATTCTTGAACAAGCGATCTCCCCGGGGTAAAATCTATGACACCTAATGTTTTTTTTTTAATTGGTTCACAAAAAAATGCCTTGCTGCGCAAATTGCAATTTATTCCCTGGTCGTTTAGAGGCAAAACAAACGTGAGGGATTCCATAATTCCAGCCCAAAATACCGTAAGAAATTGCATCACAACATCGTAGAAGAGCTTGAACTGAGCAGCGATTTGGATAAACTTTAAAAAAAAATCCGAAAAGCAAAGCTCATAAAAGAAATACAAGGACACGGTTTGCGACGTATTTCCCCTTATTTCAGGCAAGTTTATGTTCATGATTTGTTGTTGTTTTCGTTTCGTTTTCTCCATTATGAAAGAAATTCTCTCATTTTTTTTTCCTTTGGTAAAATAAAAAGGATTAGATTAAAGTGCAATTCCTTTTTGTCTGAGTGAGTGTTTTTGTTTTAATGTGCGTTTGTCTTCCTTCTGATAGCTTTTCCTGTATCGGTTACATTACTTGTTGCAGATATAACCTAATTCTGACAATCATCAGGAAATTGAATAGTCTTAACCCATGCGTCAAGCACTCTGAAAAGAAGTAATTTTAACCAAATAAGGAATTGACCGTGACCACACATACAATGGAAAACATAACTGTGGCAGATGACGCCCCCCCCCCCCATCTTTGTGCTGCAAAAATAGGAAATTAATGCAGAAACAGACGCCACATGCCAGTCCCCCGAGTGAAAGTTGGATTGCTTGTTTATTGCTACATTATACATGTTATGCATAAACATACAATATATACGTCTTAATTGGTCGCTACAAAAGTTCCTATATAGAGAATTAAACATTTAAAATGCAGGCACGGATCCAGGGGGGTCAACCCCCCCCCCCCCCCGCTCTGACGGAAAAAAAACTAATAACAATAATAATAATTAGCTATGTCCGCCTGTCTCGGACAGAGAGGCGTAGCCAGTATAGGGGTAAGGGGGGGGGGGGTATTTGAACACTTGTGTGATAGTGTGCATGATAGTCGGATTTGAACAGCACCCCCGTTGGAAGATGGTACCAAGAATTCTCCGGTTTCTGGTATGGAGCTTGCCCAAAAAGTGGTGCGGCGACGCGGCTTTTTTTTTTTTTTTACCTGATTTTTTTGCTTCAAATGTCGGCTGATGACTGCAAATGGTGCCCGACTAAACTTAGTGCAAATATATGGGAGTCCAGAGAGGCCACATAAAGCTTATTCTCGACCATAACCCAATCTAAAAATACGTTAAAATTGTGCAGCAGCAGGATTCCAGTCAAACCAGTGAGTTTGGCGGTTTTGAGACATCATCTTTCATTGAAAAAAAAAACACTTTTTCATTTTGCCGACGCGCATGGCTACGGCGACGCGCGCGCATACCAGAAACCGGAGACTTTTTTTTTTGGCCTTAGTCCGTCCATCGAGTTATCTGTATTAATTGTGTGTCTCATCATCTAGAAGACTATCCATAAGCAGGATGAGATTTATCTGCAGTTATTGCATGAGCTCGTGTCAATGTCCGCTGGCAACTACACAACGTATTTTCTTTTTGCCGTCAACAATAATGTTCCCGTACCAAACACTGATAAAGAGTGATAACACTCTCATGGCAGCACGACAAAACTTAATAAAAACATCGGTGCTTACACGAAAACTTCTCAAACGGCGAAGAAAATACAACCGCTGCTTGTTGGCTCGTTCGTATGGTAAACATCATTATCTGTTAAAACTGGGTGGTTCGAGAACAGCCCAGTGACTTCGCGTGGGTCTCGGTATCGACCAATGGAAACTGGAGGAAAGGGTGATATTTATTAATTAAAAACTTGTGAAGGAGGCGATATCGCACATTTCTGCTGCACACCATATAGATGGGAACCTTATAAATATTTGGGAGGCTTGAAAAGATTGACAGATATTGCAAACACCAGTGGTACAGCTTTGAGAAAATGAACGTACCCAAGCCTATTTTTCCAATTTCAAACAAAAATATTGAACATATCAGAACAAGTTTTAGCACACAGCATCCAGGAAACAAACCCTGAAAGTTGCATGAAGATTTGCCGTTCGTTCAGGCCCTTATGATTCTTTTCGGCGGCTGCTGAAGGAGAATAGAGCTTGAATTAGAGGTTTTTTGTACAAGTTTACCTTTTTATATTTTAATTTTCTTGTGGGAGGTTGCGGCGCTCGTCTTTTTAATAATTTACATGTGTAATTGTATCGCTTTTATATTATTACTCCATTTTTGATCTCGTTTTTATTATGGTTTTAAATAATATGATCAGCTGGGATGGGGATTGTCAGTTTCAGTGTAAGTTTGTAATTCTAGATGTATTTCTATATTACTTGTTTGCAATAACTTAAGTAGTTGAGGGGGACTGTCGGGTACGGTTTGACCTTGAGCCTAGAAATATGTAAAGGTCACATAAATATGTAAATATGGAAATATGTAGATATAAATATGAATGAATGGGGTTATGAAATTCCGGGCACAGTTTGACCTAATGAATGGATGGGATGAATAGGGAATAGGTGTGGGTATAAGGAACCGGGTACAGTTTGACCAATTCTATGGGAAAGATTGCATAAGGTATGGAAAAAAATATATATATATTTTTATGGTACATTTGGATCTTAGCCCGAATATGAGTTTCATACGTTAGTCCCTGTGAACGACCAGCTGGTCGGATCTTTAATCCCCCAACAATAGACGGGAGAGGGCGCGTGCCACGTCAGCGCACTAGTATTGTTACGAAGTTAATCCGATCGATACAAAAAGTAATTGGATTTCCGAATGCTCGACAGCAGAAAGCAGCGATAGATGGCAAAAATGAATGTTGCGTTGATCAGACTGAAACGAGTACGATTGTCTATTTGAAGAATTATTTTAAAGTCATTTTTATTGGGTTTATGGGTATCGGCACGTTGCGTTTTCCAAGTTATAAACAAACACTCGCCGCAGCATACTTGCAGGGTACAGCCTGTGTCGGCCATGGGGGTATATGATAAATCCACGATCCATAATCCATGCGTCTGTACGGAGACCGGTGGTCGATCACCCCTCGATGATCGTACTGATCATGGAACAAATAACTCCGTCCGTGCGCCTATATTCCTCTTGTTAATCGATACAATACCAATGGCACTCTTCTACACTGCCACCGGAATCATCCAAGTAAAAATATATGTCTGTGCGCGGTGATCGTAGAAAA